TAGTCATATGTATAGTCATATATCATATATACATACATGCATATATATAGCAATTAGTCAATTACAAGATTACAATTTTTGTACTGGTTAGAAATTAAATTATAAATAACTTTTAGCATAATATGTTCTGTTTAAATGTTTATATGCTATTATTTCTATAATTGTTGAAAATTATATGTAATAATTATTTGGTTAGATCTCAACTTGAGCTGAAGCCAAAAATGCACGTTTTATCTTAAAAATTTGGAAAATAAACATAAATCTAACAACTATTGATTTAAATTTTTACCTGAGAACTTCTGGATGATATTTCTTTCCGGATGATTTTTCTGAATAATACTTCCTTCTTTACCACAGACGAGGTGTGCTCCCTTCCGCCATTCTTCTCGTTTAAAAATCGATCGTGAGACATATCGATTACCCTTCGAGAATCGTAGGACGTATATTGCGTATTTCACCGTTGGCGCTGCAATCGCGCGTTTAGCACGAAATGTTAACTGAGAATAAAAGATAAAAAAAACTCTAAATCAAATACACAAAATTCATGAGAAATTCTTAAAAAAGAACGAAAATATTCAGACATTTGATGAAAAATTATCAATTGTCAAGACATGAGAAATTTTATTATATTACGTAGTAAAATTATTATTTTAACTATTAAATACGTACATCCGTGATAAATTATTGTTGAATTTAATATTGAAATTGTTAAGAATTCCGTAGTATGTTAAAGAATCAACAAATGAATAGAAAATATTACAATAGAAGTAAAAGCATATTATATATATATAGTCACATTACAAAATCACAATATTTCTATTGATTAGAATTGAAATAAAATTTTGGTATAAAATTATAATTTAGCATAGTATGTTCTGTTTAAATGTTTATATGCTATTATTTCTATAATTGTTGAAAATTATGTGTAATAATTATTTGATTAAATCTTACTTTAAAGGACTAAAAATTATATACTTTCTCGGTAATCTGGCAGATCTCGATGAATTAAAACCAAAAATGGAAGTTTTAATTTAAAAATTCACAACACAAACACAAATCTGATAACTACTGATTTAAATTGTTATCTGAGAACTTCTGGATCATATTTCTTTCTTTACAGACGAGGTGTGCTCCCTTCCGCCATTTTTCTCGTTTAAAAATCGATCGTAAAAAATATCGATTATCATTCGAGAATCGTAAGAAGTGTATTTATACGTATTTCATTGGTGGCGCTGTAATCTTTAATTTAAACCCAATACGCGCGCATTTCACAATGCAAACCTGTTTCAAGATGTTAACTGAAAATAAAAAATAAAAAATTCTGATTTAAATCAAATACACAAAATTCATAAGAAATTCTTCAAAAAGAAAGAAAATATTCATCCATTGCATGAAAAATTGTCAATTATGATCAGATATCAGTCTGACTGACTTTTCTCTATCTCACTTTTTTTTTTTATTAGTCTCGCCTATCTTGACGTTTTAAGCAGTGTTTCCTTGGAGCTGCAGCTCTTTACACATTATAAACGGAAGTGATCAGGTTCTGACATTAGCCTATAAATAGGACGCTAGCATAAACGTTATGAGGGGTTTAGAAGGAAAAGTTGCAAAAAACGTGCTATCATGAAGCTTCTCTATCTCACATCTCACACACCTCTCTCTTTTATACCCTGATATTACCTGTTTCCCCTAATGTCCGCTACCTGGCCTTTCAACTTCATCTAGCCTTGTCATTTATAATTAAACTACAAGCTAATCATAATCTCTAAAACTACAAATTAATCTACCAAGTCCGTAAATTAATTCCAAGAAAAATATCTACGATTTCAAATTCAGTAGCAATTTTTTTTTTATCGTTTCCAGGCATTGGCCGGAAGTAAATACGACGACAAGCATCTGATGAGCAACGAGGTAATGGAGAAGACACCGTCCCCGTTGAAATCGACCTACAATTCCCAATCATCGCGAAACTCTGATTGCCCGCCGTCATCCAAGCCCGCAATGGCGAATCGTCTGTTGGATTGGTTCTCCGTCGTGATGGCTGACTCTAAACACCGTCGTCAACATCCTAAACCGAAAGGTACGAATGTAACAGGCACTGGGAACTGGGTCAGTCTTGAGTTTGTACCTTGCGGTATGACGGTTCAATTGAATCTCGATAATTATTACTGCGGGAAGTCGTGGGTCCTTGGTCTTTCTCCGTCATTCCTGGTTATTTCAACCAAATGACGTTGTTCGCTGAAAAAAATTATAAGCAGTTAGAAAATTAATGAAAAGGCGAAAGATAGGTTTTTATTTCAATGTCTGAAATATGAATTTTTGGAGCCTTTTCAACACTCAGTTCAATTTTTTCAATTCAGCAAGAAATTTTCTTTCATCTGTACTTACTGGTAATAACAAAGAAGAATGATAATTAACCCTTTGATATTGGACAGTGCACATAAGCTAAATCTTAATTTTAATGCAAGAAATTAATACACGGTCCATAGTTCTATATTTATTATTAGTCACTAGCCAATTTCAAAGAGGATTTATTATTACCGATAAATTCAGAGAGTATAAACAAGTTAAGAGACCAGTAACAAAAGAATTTGAGTGAGATCATTAATAGTGCGAAAAAGATTTCAGTGCCTGTTAATTACAGTTTGAAAGTAGATAGTCGATCTGTTCCTCAAGTAATGAGCAAAATGCTCGCACCGGGTGATAATTTCAGTTAATTTCAGCCGCGTAAACAATAGCCGGGCATAAAAATCGCGTGACCACTGTAACGATAATTGCCGCGCGTGTTTTACCTAACAGCTGGTAGAAACGGAAACGGCGGTGACGTGCTAAAAGTTGTTCTAATTATCAGTGAACTGCACATGCGATGACGTGGCGCAACGAATTAGGGACACAGGTAGCGGCCATCGAAATTCTTGCACAGTCATTCGTGTTGCCGTGAACGACGTGTAACGACAGCAAACTAGTTCGGAAATCGTGAGCTTGCTTCTAAATTACGTTTCCACTGGCGATAATCGAGCGAAAATCTTCCTTAAGGGAGACAGTTTGGAATCTTTGGGAGGTTCCGTTGGAAAATTGAATAGAAGGAGAAGATTTAAACAGAAGAATCTAATGCAGAGAATGATCAGATTCCTGAAGAATTTTCATTCGTGAGAAATGTAAAAGTAACTAGTAGTTAGAAATAGAGTGAAATTTTACTATTTTTACTTTATATTTTTTAATAAAGTTTTCTGCTACTTAAAAAGAGCAATATTTTACTACAAATAGACTCTTAAAATGTTTACAATGTTTTTTTACTCTTAACTTTTATGCTTAACTTAATTCAATTTCTAACTATTTAAATTTCTTCAACCCTATATTTTTGTTTTATTGTTATGAAATGTGTTATTTAAATACTCGAGCATTTGAAATAAAAACTTCATTTAAAAGAAAGATTGCGATGACATAATAGTGGGCTTACAGAGTTAAGACAGTCTCTAAGCTATTTAATCCCCATGGAGATGATTCCCGAGTTGTCAAGAGCGACTCGGATGGCTGGTGATTCGTGAAAGCCCGTTAAAACGGTTCCTGAATCACCAGACCCGATTAGAACGATCATCAAACCGATAATCCAGTCGCAATGACCCTAGAGTCGATAGCGACACACTTGTGACAAACCAAAGTCATTAATGATCGTTCTAAGGACTAAAACGGATCTCGGTAAAGTTACTGTTTTTGCAAATTCTTTAAAATTAATGAAATTCATATACATGAAGTAATTTGAAAATCAACAATTTCAACAATCAATCCTTCAGTTGCAGTTATCGTTTTGTTTGATAATACAAATGTTTGATGTCATTTATTTATTGTTGATCTTTCTGTTATTGAATGCCAAATAAAACGGATTTTATATTTTATATTTTATATACGTGCTTCATCAATGAGTTTTCATTTAGTAATTTCATTTACGAGTACGGAAATAATTCTGAACCGAGATACGTGTATCTTTTGTTGTAACTTGTTATTTATATTTAAAAAAAAATATTTGTACCTTGTTGTTTAAACCCTTATAAATATTTAAGAACCTAAACTTTTGTTATTTGAAAACACACTAAAGTTTAACTGTCAGCCAAAAATGGAACTTTCTCAGATTAAAATTTTAAGACTTCTAATTCCACTAAACTCTTCATTCCACTGTCATCACTGAAAAAACCTCTAATTACGTAAACTAAAGCTACTTAAATTCTACGATATACAAAACTGTTGGAAAATTCTTACATAAAATTCAAGAAATTGAGAGGATTATCTCTCTTTCGTTGAGTAGCAACACGTTAAACATTGTTCGAAAGTCATCGTCGACTACAAACTATTGAAAATGACCAAGTCTCTCAGGTTGTAGAAACCTCGACGATTGGATTGAATATACAAGATACTAATTGCTCCGCACGAAAAGGGTAGTCTTCGGGCATTACAACGCTCACGATTCGACATAGTTCGGAACTGTCCCACGTTACTGCACGCTATTCGACTTCGATACAATCACTTTCGTACCAGTACGAAACGGGAATTGTCCCGTTCAAATGAATCGCTTCCCCTTCAGATCTGTCGATTATTCGAGTCTATTTTCGTCGATATTGTTTCCAATTTCTAACATCTCCATACGATTTAATATCTTATCAACGAAATTAAAAAATACGTGTTTAATACTTTATAAAAAATTCACTTCTCTGCTCGAATTTTTTTCATCAATCTTTTATGTTATGAAATTTTAATCACTTTCACTTTTAACCAGAGTTTTTAATACTATATTACTATGCAATGTAGCATACTATACAGTATATTATGTATACAATACAATACTGAGTTTTATTAGTACTATTACGAAACTTATTATATTGGCAAGATTCGAAATAAATTAAGAAATTACAAAATATTTAAACAATCAATTATTCATTATATTAGTAAACCTCAATATTCAGATTATATATTAATGTTTTAACTAATTATAAATAAACATCTTGTAACTTCTACATACGTTTTCAATTTGCTTTCGAATTCTACTAAGATAATTATAACAGTCGTTCTAATGAAATTTCAAAACGTTTCAAAACATAACACACGATGTTCCTCTGCAAGTACTCTTATACTTCTTACGAGCCAGTGTAACTGCTCGTTCGTCCCGCAGTTACTTTTATTTACCATAAATAAAGTGGTAACCAAGAGTGTCCCTGATGTGGAGATGCAGCGATATTTATATTGCATCTGCGTCTATCAACAGTGACGCAGCCATCGAAATTCATATTTCATTCGGCCACCGTTTCCAGGTCACTTCCCCATTGGTTGCCAGAGCGAGGTCAGGTGGATGTTCGGACATTTGGACAGCGACAACGACGGCAGGCTCTCTCTTTCCGAGTTGTACGGCCTGGAGCACGATCAGAACGAGCCGTGTCTGAAACCGTTCCTCGACGGCTGCGACACCGATGGGTAAGAACACGACTTCCGGCCATGCGATTATTCCACCCACGTATCTTCCCGCCGTGTTGTAATC